GGGGGGGGGGTACACCTCTCACCAAAGTCCCTCGCGAACTCTACGGCACTGATCGCGAAAACACATCCCATACGAACATAAGAGATTCGTATACGTGATCCATTTATCCTCGAGAATGCACCAGGTCCGTCACGATGATTCATCCCCGTACACCGAATGTCCTGACCGACGGCTTTTATTCACAAATGTCATTATACGTAATTGTCCGGCCGTACGAAATCCGCTCCTCGACATAAAATTATTGGTTTCAAGGAATAGCCCATGGGCGTGGGGCTTCTTGTGACCTCACGAGGAATGATATACTTAATTAATTGTGGATTCAGAAGAGAAACGCTTCTTTTTTCTCGTTTTTAAGAACACGACACACCCGATTGCAGTTTTGCTAGCCTCCCCGTTTAAAATGGCTGCGCGTTTATATGTCTCTAGTAACTTGTATTATTTAAGCCTTATGAACCTCGCTCGGTTCCGTTGAACGTTCTTGATTACATCCATTCGTATGGCGTATCGGCAAAGCTGACACCTTGAGACGACGACGACGATCACGATGACGATACGTAGTTCTCGCGAAGCTACGAAGTCGAGTAACTCGTGCGCGCCTGGAGGTAATGATGGTAGAACGGCGGCAAACCATCCGCAGATGAGTTAGCCGCTTGCGAGGTTATTGCAAGGCCTAATGGGGGAGGCCCGGGCGAACGCTAGTGCGCCGCAAGGGAATGTGCCGTGAGACTCTGAGGGCTCAGGATGGGAGGACTATGACTGTGTCCCATGGGCGAGCCGTGTAGATGATCCTGCGGATGGTATCCTTGGTGCAGTCCACCTTGTCCCTGATGTCCCGGTGGCATTCCTTCCATCATACCGTCGCCTAGCGTGTTGGGCGGCGTCATCCTCTTCTCCTTCTGCCGTCGATTGCAGAACCACACGCGCACCACTTCCTTCTCCAGCTGAAGACTGTCCGCGAGACTCGTGATTTCCTGGGCCGAGGGTTTTGGCTGCTTGTGAAAGTGTTGCTCCAGGGCGCCCTTAACGGACACCTCGATGGAGGTCCTCTTTTTCCTCTTGCGACCCTGAGCGGCTATCTTGTCGATACTCGTCGGCGAGCCCGTCGTCGAGTCTGCCTCCTCCAGCCACTTTTGCAAAAGCGGTTTCAACTTGCACATGTTCTTGAAGGAGAGCTGAAGCGCCTCGAACCTGCATATCGTCGTCTGCGAGAAGACGTTGCCGTAGAGGGTACCCAGGGCGAGGCCAACGTCGGCCTGGGTGAATCCCAGCTTGATCCGTCGTTGCTTGAACTGCTTGGCGAAGGCTTCGAGATCGTCGGACGTAGGTGTGTCCTCTTCGCCGGCACTGTGATCCCTGTCGAGAGGGTGTCCAGGATGCAGAGGATGTCCTGGGGGTGGACTGTGATTGTGAGCGTCCCTAAGATGATGCGGTAGACCCGTCTGATGATTGTGTAGCTGGTGAGGGTGCTGATGGGGATGCTGATGAAGCATGCCGTTCATAGCCGCGTGGTACTGCTGCAGGGTGGTCGGCGACGCCGCGCCGCCGCTTGGATTATAATGCGCCGAGGGTACGACGGGGGCGTGCCAGGAGTGCGGCGATGCCATCCCGGGTGACTGATGAGGTCCACGATGGTGCATACTCTGTACGGAATCATTGGCGGACGCTGCGGCTGTCAACGGCTTGACGTCGAGGCTCGTGTTCCCTTGGTGCGGATGATGATGGGAGTGATGCGTCGTGTGATGCATCCCCATTGACGCTGTCCAAGGGTCGCTGCCAGGTTGCAGGCTGACCCACGGATTCGCCGACGAGAGACTCGCCGGATGCGAGAGTCCATTTGGCGACGGCGACGAGGATACCTGATGGTGATGGTGATGGTGGTGATGATGCTGGGGCGCGGGCATGTACTTCATCTCGCCAGCGTCGGCGGCGCTGCGGGGCGAGCCCGAGGAGTAGCCACCCACGGCGATGTTCATCCCGATCGCGGATCCCGAACCACCATCCAGGTCGGCTGACACTGCACTACTAACCGGCATGTACGTAGTAGCAGCCATCTACTCCCTGGCGCTTACCCCCTGGGTCACCTGGCCCTAGCCTCAAGGTGATACCCTTCCGCAATCTCTTCTTCTTAGCCACCCTACAACGCGACTTTACACTTTTCTTTACTGTCCTTAATAATCACTTGCACTTCTTACGCTCTTCCGAAACTTCGAGATATTATTTACTACCCGCAAACTGTAACAATCCACTATCTGCCTTCTCCTCCTTTTCCTTTGCTCCCAGAGGATGATGAGGATAACCTATCCAGCACCGTCTGCGTTTCCTCCGCCGTCGCGGCCACCACCGATGGGGCACACGCGGCTTTCCACCCTGGCGGGACTTCGCTATATCCGCCACGAGCTTCTGCCCTCTGTCAAAGTCAGTCCTGATTATTTAATTCTTTCGACAATAACACCGGGTCTATCCGACGGTATCCAATCAACTTAACAAACGATAATCTCCACCCCGCTGATCACGGAGGTGAGAGAGAGCAATGGCTCGGTCTGCCGAGCGGCTCGTATATTTACTAGCTGTAGCTGTGCTGGTAACCAGTCTTTGATAAATCACTGTTATCCAAGATGTCTCTCAGTCACTGTACGATCTCGAATTAATTATTCTCTGATCGCAACACTCTACATCTCGCAGCACATTATCAACGATATCGTTACTATTAGCGTCCATATTTCCCAGTTGTCCGGTGATAATCCTTAAACGACGAACGATCCAATTTCAAGGCGGGCCAAAGGGTGACCTCTAGCACCCTCGGGCCAGTTCGTCCACGTAGATCATATAAATCCAACAGAAGCCGGTTTACACCACAGCCAAAATTTTTACCCAGATCACCCAGACGATAATCCCGATAAAATCCACACAACGGCACCGCGTATTGCAGGCCGTATTGAAACGTCACCAAAAAAAAATACAAGATATTCCAGACGTTCGTCTACCCTCAGGGTCCGCGCACTTACGAAATCAATCGCTCCCTTATCGAATATCCGTTCGAGACTTATATCGGATATTCCTTCAGCCGCGTTTCCATACGATACTCCCGTTACGACACGACGACCTATTTTATTATTCTCCCGCGAATTTTCACCCGGGGGGCAAATCAAAAAATTAAAAAACGCACGTTTCGCCACGACAGTGGCATCGAGGACTACGCGTTGCACTCATCCACCGTAACTAAAAGCACGCTCGCTCTATCGCGAGGTTTCACCGTCCGCTCTCGGTCGTCACGGCACACAGGAATACGTCGCGAGGGACAGATATACACAGAGAGAAAGAAAGAGATCGCTGGCTCTCATGCGTTATGCATGTCGTAGCTGAGAGCGACTGACTGCCTCGCCTCGCAGCTCGCCCGAGGTTCCCAAGTTCCAGCGGTGAGCTCGTCATGCGCGCGACAGTCGGGAAATTTCCCCCTCCACGACACTCCTAACACGTCATTGGCTCTCGCGGCAAGGTGGCCGTCGGAGCTACGTCACCATTGGGCGGAGTTGACGATAAGACACACCCTCTATACCAGACACCCCAGGCGCCGGTCCTTTTACCCCTCATACGCTCTTACCGTGCTAGAGCTACCTTCTCTAACTGTGCTGCCTCGATTCTACCGTGCTCTGCCTTTGGCTGCCGTGACGTATCCTGCCGTGTGCTACCGCACAGTACCTAGTTGGATTTTTTTATTTTTTATTCCCATTCTTGTATATATATTCGTGATATTTTCCTAGGTTATTTCATATCAAACTTTTCTTTTAATTCATACAGAATATTCGTTATAACTGTGTTTCTTAGCTCTACCATACCAACTCTCAGATATATTATCCAAGGTGTAACGTGTACTAACCCTTAGTACTATATGCAACAGGTATTTTAATTCGAACTATATAAAAAAAATTTTTTTAATTCAAAAATAATTTTTTCTTTGAACTTATTTTTTTTTTAAATTTTTAATTCCATACTAAATATTTATTATCTATAGTCTCATCACTTTATTCAACACCCTAACAGATTACAAGCTTATGCATAGTTATTCAGGTTAGTCACATCAAACGCAATTGACTTGGAGTATTACACAGTAGCAAAAGTCTAGCTAAAACTGATGAACTATACAAAAAATAACGCGAATTCCTCAGACACAGGATGCATATCGTTTCTTTAAATTATTCTTACCCCCATTTCGCAACTCTATAACCACGCAACAGGTATACCTGTAAACGGACCCAGTACCAAGAATTAGTAGTACCAAAGGTGGTGGAGGGTGAAGAATCCTAATTACGAAATCGCTTCGATCGTAATGCCCTAGTACTATACACCCACCCTGGTCATCCTAAAAAAAAAAGGCAAGGGAAAAAAATCAGCACCCCTAACAATTCTCTCGCCAGGACCTCTACTCGTTTGAATTCGAATGCGGCGCGAGCCACAGGTAGCAGATCCTGTACTCTATTCTGGTAGGTACAAACAAGCAACCCCCTTGTCCGTTTACATCGGACTGGTGTCGCGCCTCCATAAAACACCCCATGGATTTTAGACACCCCATGAGATACCGTCGCTATGCATGCACGCGCCGTAGAGTGTGAGAGAGAGAGAAAAAAAATTGTACCTCAACAGACCCCATTGGAATTTGCCGATTTAGGTAACCGTGAATTCTCGGGCCTCTCCGTGTCTGACCAAGTCACGCAACAGGTATACTCATTCGAGTGATTAATTACCGACGATGGGGGTACAAGTGCGAGGCGCCTGGAATACAGCGCACGGGTCATGGGGGTGGTTAACTGTATCAATAGACACAAATCGTGTGTATATATATGGAGAAAAAAAACAGAATGAGGTGGAGCAGAAAAAAAATTGGTGAAACTTGTTTCATCCACGAGAGGTTTTAGTACTTTTAAATGAGAGCCACAGGTAGCAGCATTATGCAGTACGTGCCAAGCCACCCCTGAACAGGGGTGAGTTAGATGATCGCGTAGCGTGCGCTACGCATGGAGATCTCGAGATCGTATTATTTTAAGTACTGATTTTACTTTCATGCCTCAATTCCGACATGGAGTTGCGCCCTGGAAAATCGATTTTCCTCATTTTTTGCTCGCAACATTTTTTTTTACGACGCACCCCTTTTTCTTTAATTTTGTTATTATTCATCGAATTTTTTTTTTTTTTTAATATTTTTGATTATCCATTAACGTATCGAATTTACACAGAACAACATTTATCAAATCTATATCATATATTATGTGTTTTATATTGAATATATACATATATGGTATATGTATATTTCGAATTTTTTTTTTTTTTTTCCACAGGTAGCAGCATTATGCAGTACGTGCCAAGCCACCCCTGAACAGGGGTGAGTTAGATGATCGCGTAGCGTGCGCTACGCATGGAGATCTCGAGATCGTATTATTTTAAGTACTGATTTTACTTTCATGCCTCAATTCCGACATGGAGTTGCGCCCTGGAAAATCGATTTTCCTCATTTTTTGCTCGCAACATTTTTTTTTACGACGCACCCCTTTTTCTTTAATTTTGTTATTATTCATCGAATTTTTTTTTTTTTTTAATATTTTTGATTATCCATTAACGTATCGAATTTACCACGGAAAAACATTTATAAATCTATATCATATATTATGTGTTTTATATTGTATATATATATGGTATATGTATGTATAGTCAAAAAGTAGACTTTTTTTTTGGTCTCATTTTACTTCACTAATATGTCTTTAATTTGATTTTGTGTCGACCATTGTGTCAAAATTCGATTGAATAGCTGTGGAATATTTGCTTAGGACCGACAGGTAGTGAGTTGGTAGCCAGTACCTACTGGTATAACGTGGCGTGCCGGCCGGCGTTCCAACGAAGCTGTTACGTGCATAAGACACTCTCGCTCATTCTCTTTCTCAATATTTCCCTTTTTCACTACCTTTTCGCTCTCTTTCTCTCTCTCTCTCTCTCTCTCTCTCTCTCTATCTGTCTATCTATCTCACTCTTCGGAACGTCGCCAGTACGAACGAAACACTTTACTACCTGAACGTTTGCTTGCATAATTTAAAACGCCCTTTTTGTCGTTCACCCTTGGCCCTGGTGCTAAACCGAGGAGGGGGAGAGGGGCAAGGTTGCACCTTGTCTCACACTCGAGGACTACGAAAGTGCGAAAACATTTGTGAAAAGCAGGATCGAGAGAGAGAAAAAGATATTTGAGAAAAAAACGAAGTTATTTCTTCACTTTATCGTCCCTTTACGTTTAAAGACTGTCATCTGTCATGAATTTGATTAATCAGCTGATTTTTTGACATGCGACCGATACTGACAGCCCTTTAATTTATAATTCGTATCCAGGTATATTAGTCATGAAAGCATATCGAATGTTTCCAAAGATACGTTGGATAAAGAAAATTTCATTTTGGTCGAGCACACATGGTGGGCATTGAATTTAGTGAATTTGAGGTAAAATCGAAATCGTCCGAGTTTCCCTCCACATATGTATACATATATAGAATTAAGGATACGTGCTTTTGGCTGTACGCATAAAAAGCTGTATAAGTAATTTAAGAGCGCAGCCAAAGGTAACAAAGTCAATAAACTGTGACGTATTCGGTATAACGCATCAGCTTTAGGTAGCCGAAAGTTTGTAAACCGGGTATTTAGAACGTGTCGTAGGTCGGGGTGGTAGGAACCTATAAAAAGTCGGCGTACGTGAATGGAGAGTTAACTGTTGTAATTTGGCCGCCTTTATGTCGAGAATGAATATTTTAATATTTTAATACGAAATACGCTATGAGGGATTTTATGGTGCGCTATAGCTTCCCTATTGTAGGTATCTCTCCCATACTACCCATTCGGAGCCGGTGCGCCGCGCGGCTGGGACGTCGACGCCGACGGCGACGCACACACGATAACCACCACGTAGAAAAGGTCGCTTCTGGTTGAGAGGGAAATATCCGCAGCATATACTGGTAATAGTATGTAGCGGCAGAAGTACGGAAGGATACGAAGCGTCGCGACGCCTGTGTGGATACTTGCATCAAACCATGGTGGATTGCGTGGGAGAGTGGGAAAGAGAAAAAATAAGTGGGAGAAGCACCAAAGAGATACGAAGTGTAGAAAGGGAATAAGTAGTTCGGCTGTTTCACACGGGATGGCAGCACTGCGCAGCTACCGGAACAATTTTCGTCAATACTTTCTAAGCCACCCCTTGGGCGTCCTGGGATGCCGGAAAAGGGTGGCTTTATAAATATAGTCCATAAGTCGTCAACTCCTTGTGCCCGTGCTGCCATCGTACGGCGGACCCTGCGAACTTTATAAAACTATTTTTTCAAACGGCCGATTAAAAAGAGTCGTCGATAATAAATATCAATTAATTTGCCAATTTTACGAATAAATTTCTTCTACGCGAAATGTATCGTCGGCAATAATTAAAATTAAATAATATGAAAAAATTTATAATATTTACCAGCGATATATCTCTCTTTCTCTTACGCACGTAAACCCCTATAAGGACGTCTCTCTCGCACTCGTAGCAGGTATAGAAAAATTTAACATTTTTTTTTGTTAAACTCGTCATCGAACGATCCAAACAAATTTATCAATTTATCTAATATTGAAAGAGACCTCTTTCCGACACTTACCTAACTTCACGCTATAGTCAATTTCATAATGTATTCGTAACTATTAAAGAATCCAAACCTTAACGTCATTTCTATCTCGTACCAAACTATCTGCCAATTATTAGTCCCACTGTCACCGTCATCCTCGTCGCACTTTCCTACAATTCGAAACAACTTCCCTTAAGGCTTACTCGGTTAGGCAGATACCCGTTAGTTAGTGTCGCTTCGAGGGTAGATTAGTCGTTAGAGTTGCCATGGAGTTTGAGCCGAATGGCATAGCAGCCAAATTATATCAAGTACTCGTGTCCCGATCGTACCGCGGCCTTGGCTTAACTTTGAGAACCGCTATCATCCCACCTGCACCAATGGGGTAGACGAAGTCTCTCACGAGTGCTGCCCAAACGAATTTGCGTTTAAGATGTCGGTTTTCCTACCAATAAATATATATATATACCCCCAGCTAAACTAAACCCAAATCATGTAAAAGTGATTAGACCCCCCCCCC